ATAAATAAATAAAAGATTTCCAAGCTCCTGCCCTGGAGATCTCATTTGAGTGGCCCTAGCATGGAGCTGGAGAGCCTGTTTGGTTTTATAAGCCTCCCAGTGGTCCTGTTGATCATGAGAAGCACTGCATTGCCTTAGAACAGCCTTACAGAGGACGAACTGCTTGAACCAACGCAGATGTAAAATTTAAAAAGGAGGAATCTGAGGCCTAGAGAGACTAAATGAGTTGCCCAAGGCCACACTAGTGTTGAGTGGGTGAGCTGTAGCTTACAGACCACAGTCTGACTCAGAGCCGATTCTCCTAACGCTAAACTGCACTGCTCCTCTCGTTTTCCTTTATTGGAGGCCCTTCTTGCTCTGCCCTCCCATTTTTGTAAGGTATCATCATTTTCCATGGACCGTCCCCAAAACCTCCAAGGTTTTGCCTCTACCGCAGATCAGGGGCTGAATAAGTGTCACTCCCACTGCCCTAGCCCTGTGGCAGGAAGCCCTTGTTACAGCCATGGATGTCGCCTATAGGCCTGGCTAGCCTCCTGAGCCCCTCACTCGGAGTCTGACCGGCATCCAGTGACATCACGGAGCCTGACTTTCTGATTGGCTATTTGTAGCAGCGGCGAGGTCTGGTTGGCCTGATTTTCCTCACCCGCTCACCTGGGCCAGGCTTTGCTGGCAGGGAGGGGTCAGGGCTCCTCAGACCTGGTCCGAGCGCGGGGCGCTTTCACTGGGTCCAGAAAGGCCTGCAGATAACCATCAGGAAAGTATGCACGGTGCTAGAAGAGTCCCTGAAGCAGAGTGGAGCTTGTTAAGGAATGCATGTTTGGGGCTGGAGTACAGAGTCTGGATGGAAGATGGTTGGTTAGGGGGAAAACAAAACAAAACAAAAAACCAAACTGAAAGTCTGGAAGCCAGGAAACAGATTCTTTATGACAAGAATCTTACCATCCTCTGGAGCCTCTCTGATCGTCATTCAAGGCAGACAAAGCCCCCCTGATCTCTGGCCTTTGACGCACAGGCCGAGGCGGACGTGGCCTCCCTGAACCGCCGCATTCAGCTGGTAGAGGAGGAGTTGGACCGGGCACAGGAGCGCCTGGCTACAGCCCTGCAAAAGCTGGAGGAGGCTGAGAAGGCCGCTGATGAGAGTGAGAGGTGGGCAGGGGGCCTTCCAGGGGGCGGGCCAGGGAGGGGCCGGGGGCCTGTCTCTGCTGGTCCTGACCCCACTTCCACCCTGCTCCCTGCCCCTCAGAGGAATGAAGGTCATCGAAAACCGAGCCATGAAGGATGAGGAGAAGATGGAGCTGCAGGAGATGCAGCTGAAGGAGGCCAAGCACATTGCTGAGGATTCAGACCGCAAATATGAGGAGGTGACAGCCCTGCCCCACTTCCTTCTCCCTCCCAAACCCCAGATGCCCCCAGCCACTCACCAGGGCTGTGCTTCTTCTGTCCCTTACCCACCCCTGCCCAGGTGGCCAGGAAGCTGGTGATCCTGGAGGGAGAGCTGGAGCGCTCAGAAGAGAGAGCAGAGGTGGCTGAGAGGTAAGGGGACCCTGGGGCGGCAAGTGAAACTCGGCCTTGGTCCTGTGGCTCTGGGGCACTCTGGACCGTGGGAGGCAGTTTCCCAGGCTTGGGGCCATAGGGACAGGTCCTGTTCTCTGACCTCTAACTGCTGCCCCCAGCCGAGCCAGGCAGCTGGAGGAGGAACTCCGAACCATGGACCAGGCCCTCAAGTCCCTGATGGCCTCAGAGGAGGAGGTAGTGACCTCTCTGGACCTTTCTGGGCAACGGTGCCTTCTCTCAGCTCACCTTCCCCCTAGTCTCAGGCTGCTCTCTCACCTGCTGGGGGTTGGGAAGGGCCTGGGGCTTCCAAACTCAGCTTGCTGTCACTCTCACAACTTTGCTCTTTTCTCTCCTCCACCCCTTCCTCACTGTGCCATCTCCACTGTCCCCCACACTGTGCCCTCACACCCCCCCTGCCACACACCCCCTGCAGTAAATGTGGGGACCTAGAGGAGGAGCTGAAAATTGTTACCAACAACTTGAAATCCCTGGAAGCCCAAGCGGACAAGGTAGAGGGGGTTAGAGGGGCAGTGAGGATGGGGTCCTTCAGGGAAGGGAGGCAATGGGCCCAGGCAGGGAGGGGCTGGGTGTTCCCTGGAGACAAGACCAGGAGTAGCCTGTGGGTTCAGTGGAGTGAAGGATTTGTGGAGGCGATCTCCTGATGGCATGTGTATGTCCCTAAAAGTATTCCACCAAAGAAGATAAATATGAAGAGGAGATCAAACTGCTGGAGGAGAAGCTAAAAGAGGTGAGAGTCCTTTCTGTCCCTACTCTCCCGTTGAGCCCCCTGTCCCCGTCAGAGACTGCCCGTGGCAAGGACTTTGGAAATAGGGTTGGAAGAGGAGGTTGACTTAAGTGAAAGTATCTGGGAGGGCCTAATTTTTGTCATTCCCCCATCTTACCTTTACTCCCAGGCTGAGACCCGGGCAGAGTTTGCTGAGAGGTCTGTGGCAAAGTTGGAGAAGACCATTGATGACCTGGAAGGTAAAGGGATACCCTCCTAACCCCGGGACCTTTTTAAGTGGGTCCCCACTCCCTGTGACTGTCGGTCTGTCCCTTATTTTCCCATTTCGTCTGTCCCGGATAAATTAGTGTTGGACCACCTAGGACTCCACCAGCTCCCAGGTCTATGCCCACCATTCAGGTAGTTGCATCTCAGGGCAGTGTGCCCACTCCAGCGATTCTCAGACTTGAGTGTGCATGAGAACACCTCCGAGAATTTTTAAAACACAGATTCCTAGGTCCTACTCCAAAGTGATTGCTGACTTCGGGCTGGAGAATTTGTATGTCTAACAAGCTCCCTGGTAATGGCAATGCTGCTGGTCCTCAGACCACACTTTGACTAGCTCTGACCTAGACAGTTCGTCCCCAAGTGCAACACAATAGTGCTATATCACAAAGATCTTTTTATTAAATATAGAGTTGGTTTAATATCTAAGTATTCATGACATTAATAGAAAATACTATTTTAAGCTAGATTTGATGAAAATGAACATCCAGGTATTTACTAATCTGTGGCTATTTCTTTTTTTTTTTTTTTTTAAAGATTTTATTTATTTATTTGACAGAGAGACAGAGAAATCACAAGTAGGCAGACAGGCAGGCAGAGGAAGAAGCAGGCTCCCTGCTGAGCACAGAGCCCAATGTGGGGCTCGATCGCAGGACCCTGGGATCACGACCCAAGCCGAAGGCAGATGCTTAACTATCTGAGCCACCCAGGCATCCCTGTGGCTATTTCTCATTAGTAGCAAGAATGTCGTACCTAAACTGTATTTTCTTTTTATTCTGCAATAACCCTTTCACTTTCATAATTCCTACTTCTCGTGCTTGTAGCCTTCTTAAGCAAGCCTCAATTTTATCTCCAACTTTAGGACTGTAGTCCTTTCTGGCCCCAGGCCCTTCCCCTTGAAGCAAGCACTCTGCTCATTCAAAGCACTGTGCCCCCATGTCCCTGGGGGAGATAGGACCAATTTAGTCTCCAGAGAAAAAAGAGACAGGGGTACAGAGAGGGGAGGAGGGAGCCCTCATGGCTGTCCAGCCTGTTCTCTGGCCTATTTCTCTTACTCCATCTTTGTCCACCTCTCTCTGATTCTTGTTTTCTCTTTCCATTACCCTCTCTCCTTCCTTTCCTCTTTCCCTCCATTCCCTCTCCCCACACTCCCATCCGGCCCCCTTCCCCTGGACTCCCCCCACCCCCAGACGAAGTCTATGCACAGAAGATGAAGTACAAGGCCATCAGTGAGGAACTGGACAACGCACTCAACGACATCACCTCCCTCTGAGTCCCACACCAGTGTGGCCCCCTCAGCCCCTTCTCTCTCCTCTTTCCATTCTCTCTCTGTGGGGAGGGGGCAGGTAGGAGGAGCAAAACGGTCAGCATCACACAGCCAGGCTGGGCGCGGCCTTGGAGAGCCCCCGGCGCACCTCCCGCCCACCTTGGCACTTGCTTCATCCTTCTATCCACCACTCCACCCTCCAGCCTCTACCTCTTTCTGCTGCTTAATAAACTCAACTTGGTCTCCATGCTGTTTTCCTGCCCTCCAGAGAGCACTTCCATCACCCCCACAGAGATCCTGGCTCTTACACCCCCAATCTTGTGACCCCCCCCACACTGAGCTCACCCACAGAACACCGTGGCCCACGCAGAACCCCCCACCACACAGCACTCTCAGTCTGTCAGTGTCTCACTGCTTCACGTGGGCACCTATCACCCCATCCGTCACCGCGAGCCCTCTGCTGCCTCTGAGAGACGCGCTCTTGTGTGGACCCAGGCCTGTCACTGACCTCAGAGCACTCCGCTGCGGTTCCAGGATAAAGGAGGGACTGGAGGGGAGACGGGTGGGGAGGTGCCGAGGAATGGCAAGAAGGTGGTGAAAGGTCTGGGGTGACGTTTGGGAAAACGCTGGATGCCAACAACATGGGGCTTTCCCTGCAGGTCTGTTTTCTGCCTCAGGTCTGTCTGTCTGTCTGGCCCTCCCCTTTCTGGCTCAGTCTTTGTCTTTCCTTCCCTTTCCAACTCTCGGTAAACCCTGTAAGGAAGGAGGTAAAGTAGTTTTTGACTCAGGCCCTCCCATCCAACCCCCATCACCCCGAAGCCTTGAGTGAGGCTTCTGTGTCTGTCTTGGTCAGTCCATCCATTTGCCCCTGGCACGGGATCCTCAGATTCCTTCATGCTTATGTCTTCCTGTGCCTCCATCCCATTCCAAGTCTGCCTCAGCCCCCATCTCCCCTCATGTCTCCCTGCCCCTCCTCACTCGCTGCTTCCCCTCGCAGAGACCTTGGCCAGTGCCAAGGAGGAGAACGTGGAGATTCACCAGACTCTCGACCAGACCCTGCTGGAACTCAACAACCTGTGAGGGTGGCTCTGCCCCCAGCCAGGCTGCCGTCGCCGCCCCAACGCAATAAAGTGGATGTTACTGGCATCACAGGGCCCTTTCAACCTTTCTTTGGTGTTGGTGACGGTGGTGGTGGTTTTCCAAAGTAGAAAGGCTAAGAAGATGCCCGAGGGGAGCAGTGGAGTTGAAAGGGCCCCTGCGTGACCATGCTCCACAGTAGGACTTCCTTTGCTAAGGGAGCCAAGAAGTGGGGGCAGTGGGTTCACTGAGGAGGGTTGTGACCAGGCTGTGTGAAGCAGAGAGGCCCCGCTGGGCTGGGGGGACATCTGGACCCTTTCTACCCGCAGGGCAAAGGAGCTGCTGTCCTCGGCACTGCCCCATTCCAGCAGTCCGCCAGTCTGAAGGCAAAACTGCAAAGCTACACAGATTTTACTTGAGCAGGGTGAAAGCCCAAAAGCCTCACTATGATTTTAAGCCTAGAGGCTAAGCCTGCTCTACCCCCAGACACATACGCTGCTGTGGGTGTGCCCACGGTCATTCTAACTATCTCAGTCACTTCCGCCCCTTCCCGAAAACATCTGTGCTAGGCAGTAATGCCCCCCACCAAATCGTCCACACCTTAATCCTGTGAAATGTTACCCTACGTGGGAAAAGGAACTTCGTGATTAAGCTAAGGATTTTGAAATTGGGAGATTATCCTAAATTATCCAGGTAGGCCCAATGTAATCACAAAGGCTCTTATAAGAGGGAGGCAAGGTCAAAAGGCAGTTATAAGAGATACAACAATGGAAGCAAGAGGCTGGAGAGATATGAGGAAGGGGCCACAAGCCAAGGAATCCTTGGCTTCTAGAACCTGAAAAAGGAAACCCCCTCCCCTCAAAGTGTTCAGAAGGAACCAGCCCTTACTGACACCTTGACTTCAGCCCAGAAGATTCATTTTGGACTTCTGACCTCCAGAACCCTAAGAGGATAAATTTGCATTACCATTAAGTTTGTGGTGATTTGTTAAAGGCAGCAATAGGAAATAAATACACCATCCTCCTGATTTGGGGAACAAAGCTGCCTTCCACATATTTTATTAGAAACATTTATTTAAAAAAATATTTGGACCTAAAAAAGGAAGTGGTATAAAGGGTAGGACAGGACAAAATCTCCCGCTCGCCCTCAGATTCTTCTGGCTGGCTTCTCTGCACATTCTCCCAGTTCCAAGGCCTCTAGGCAACAGTCTCCGTGACCTCTGCTGGGTGGTAGCTAACGTTCCCTTTGGTCCCACTTCGGAGTCTACACAACACAAAAGCCCAATCAGAAAACTCCCCCTCCAGATGAGCTCGTTTGCATGCAGTGTTCATGAAACTGTTCCGGACCCATCCACGGAGGTGGGGCTGTGCCTGAGGAAGGGGCTCAGGAAGTGGGTAGGTATACCTTTGCTGCCTTCTCATTTGCACAAGGAAGGCAATGCTGGTGACTGCAAAGAGGAGGCCAAAAACCAGGGCCAGGATGTCACCTGGAGGGAGAGGAGAGGCTGCCTCAGAGTGACGAGGAGTCTGCAGGATTCCCTCAGCCTGCTGCAGTGTATCCCCCACCCTGCCCCCCAGGTTCTCCAGCTTCCTTCAGTGTCAGAATCCAGAAGAGGCCAGCAAAGGGATGGGGGTGGATACACAAGAAGGAGTAAGATGAGCACCTCTTTTTCTTACCTAAAAGAGGTTGTTTGGGAAGGAGGATGCTAGGAGATTTCTGGAGCTTCTTTCTAATCAACTTTTGCCCTGGGGACAGGGGAACGCCCTCCCCCTTGATCTGACACTATCTTATTGGGGTTGGAGGTCTGTTCTGCAGAAAAGGATAGGAAGTAGAGGTGGTCCTCGCCCCTGAGGCTGAACGATGCCAAGAGGTCAGCAGCCAGAGGGGTGCCTGGGTGGCTCAGTCGTTAAGCATCTGCTTTCAGCTCAGGTCATGATCCCAGGGTCCTGAGATCGAGCCCTGCACCGGGCTCCCTGCTCAGCGGGAAGCCTGCTTCTCCCTCTCCCACTCCCCCTGCTTGTGTTCCCTCTCTTGCTGTGTCTCTCTGTCAAATAAATAAATAAAATCTTAAAAAAAAAGAGGTCAGGAGCCAGAGATGGGGCACAGACTCACCAGCAGCAAGGCAGGAATTCAGGTGGACTGAAGAGGAAAAGGACAAATTAGAACCAGGGCCTGTGACTACCAGTGACAGACACAGGCAGAAATGAAGACACATGGGAGGATGAGGGACCTGTGGCGGCCACACACAGCAATATGGGGCACCAGAAGCCACACCTGGCTCAACAGTCCTGGGGCTGCTCTCCACTTCAGTGGGGAAGGAGGCCTCGATCATTCGCCCATTGAGAGGCTGCGTGGCTCGGAAGTTCAGCTGTAGCCGAGAGTCATCAGGTCCCCACAGGGAGCCAGAGAGGGTGTGGAGCTAGGGAGGTCAGGAGACAGTGGGGGTGGGCTCATGACAAGAAAATGAAAGGGTCACAGGCCTACTCACAGCCAGCACCTCAGGGCTTCACCCGCTATGTCCTCTGCTTCCCCCATTTTGCTGCTTCATTCATCTCTTTATCCACCCTGATCTCATCCTTACACCCCTTTCCCCCACATCCCCTATGCCACCATCATGCCCAGCCCCACCTGCTTAGCGCTCAGCCTCACTGTCTGGTTGAACACAGTCCAGATGACCCCCTGGGCACAGGGGGGTGTGGTTAGAGACCCCTCGTAGCGGAAGTAGCGGCTGAGGTCAGCAGGCAGCAGTGCAGATACGTCCAGTCCTGGGACCCAAGTCTCTGAGTCTGTAGAGAGGACCTGTGCTGGAATCCCCCCTGGATTGCTTCCCTCCAAAGCTCTGGGGTACAGGGATAAGTTTCACCTCCCTGAAGCCAAGCTGGTGCAACTTCCTGAGACCACTTCTTCACTAAGTGTGTCCCTTCCCATAACTCAGCACAAGACCTAACTCAGAAGAAGGTAAAGGGCTGTGGTGCCTCACAGAGTGAAAGAAGTGCTCCCAAGGTCCTCCCTCTGAGTCTTCGCTCTTACTTTGCGTTCTGTGATAACATGCTGGACTACAGATTTAAACCCAAAATGAATCAAAAGGGAAAATGAGCTGAATAACTTGTAAATCAGTATAAACATTTGACACCATAAAAAACAGACACAAACACAGTTCCCTCTAGTTTAGTAAAATATAAGGCCCGGCAGTGAGATTCAAAATTACTCAGAGTGGCTGAGAAGGGAAAGATTTTCAGCAAAAGTACAAATTTAAAATAGTTGATGCTGGGCGCCTGGGTGGCTCAGATGGTTGAGCGTCTGCCTTCGGCTCGGGTCATGATCCCAGGGCCCTGGGATCGAGTCCCGCATTGGGCTCTCTGCTCCTTGGGAGCCTGCTTCTCCCTCTGCCTCTCTCTCTCTCTCTGTCTCTCATGAATAAATAAATAAAAATCTTTAAAAAAATAAAAAAATAAAAAATAAATAAAATAGTTGATGCTTATGAAGGAGAAATAGACAGTTTTCAGAAAAATATTAGCTCCCTGGACTCAACCTCTGAAGTTCCAAACACTTTTTTTTTTCCTCTCTTTTTTTCTATCTTCTTTTGGTTTTTGTTTGATTTGGGGTTTTGTGGGGTTTGGGTTTTTGGGGGGGATGGGATGAGGTTTTCGTCTGTTTGTTTTTGTTTTTAGCCATAAAGCCTGTGGGCCTCTGCTCAGCTTTATAATTACTGTCAAGATCATAGTTAGTTCACACATTGGTTCCCTGCATTTGGGAGGGAGCCCATCTCCATCCTCACACCTGAGGCTCCCCAAGGAGAGTTCTTTATGAACAAGGGTATTGAGGGTAGTGGCCAAACCAACAAACTGACCTTCCTCAGTGATTTCTTCCAAATGTGACAGCAGCTGCTCATAGGCACTGTTTTCTTCTGGGCCCTCCTGGGAAATGACAGTACAAGACAGGTTCTTACAGGTATCTAAGGCCATGCATGGCTGGAGGCCTGAAGGTGAGGTGGGCTTCCCATACCTCCCCTCCCCCCCTTTCTCAGCTCTGAGAATGCTGGGAGAACACAAAATCTGTGTATTACTACTCAATTTACTTTTATTTTGCAAACGAACCTAAGCTGCTTGGTGGGCTGGTTTTCAAGGGTAAATTGGAGGAGGAGGAGGAAGGTGGGCCACTCTCCTAGGATAGGAGGCCCTCAGTGACCTGGGTCCTACTATCTTTTCCAGTCTCACTGATCCTACCTCCACATACACACTCATGGTCTCCCCACAGAAAGCCATAATAACCTTTGTATTCACGTTTCCTCTACATTCACCTTAATAATTCATGTGTTTGACTTTGGGAGCAAGGACATGCTATCTCAGAGGCACTGCTCTGAACTTTGTGCTGTGAGGCTGGCGTTAAAGTCAGGCAGTTACTGAGCCTAGAAGGTATCTCACCATCCGTCCATTTTCCTAGCCTCTTCTAATCACTGTGTATGCAGCCCTGATTGTTACAGGTCCAAAGACGTCACTAAATATTTCTCTAGACTTTATTGCATTTCACAAAATGGAAAGTACGGGTTATAGGAGTGTTCAAGAAATTACTCTTCTCCCCTCCGTTCCACCTGCCATTCCCTGAGTGGGTCATATTCTTAGTCCACATACACTGTTGGCTCTGCCTGGAGTATCTCCTTTTCTTTCCCACTATTGAAGGCTTCAAGTTTGACCTTTGTGAAATTTTCTCTGACCACCTTCTACCATGTCTGTGCCTTTTTGTCTTTCATGTCAGCCGCCCCCACCGGCTGTGGGCGGAGCCACGGTTTCGGAATCCTTTGTGTGGCTCAGTGCCTGGCCTACAGGGGGTGTTGAGTGAATTAATGAGTGAATGAGGACTACCAGGTGTCAGCTTGCGTGTGCCAGGATGGGGTATCTGGGGTCAAACTACCCTGAGCCCTGGGGCGTGGGGAAGCAGGGGATAGGGGTGTCCAGGGCTGGTACCTGAAGAAAGGCGGCCAACACGGCCAGCCCCCCTGGACGTCCCAAGGCCTCATCAACTTTGGCAAATGCAGTGCTGAGGTGAACCACATGGATCTGGAGAGAAACAGAGGGTAGAAAAGTGGGCAAGACCCCCGGCCCAGCGCCCCCCTTCGCCTCTCCGCTGTGCGCTCACCTCGGCTGGGAAACGGTGGCCGTCAACCGTGTGCTCCGAGCCCGGGCGACCCGCAGCCCCCCAGTGCAGATGCAACTGCAGGGCCCGGTACTCCTGCCCGGGGCCCAGGGCCATCTCCAGCCCCGGAGGCAGAATCAGCTGCACTGCGAGGGAAGAGGCAGCTGAGCCCGGAGGGCCAACCTACCCGGGAGGGCCAACCGAACTCCCAAGCACAGGCTTGGCCGGCCCTCCGCACTAGACCCGGGCCCATCCCCAGATAGTCTCCGCCCCTTCCCTGAGGCTCCGCAGCGAGACCAATACCACCCCCCGCCCCGCCCCGCCCGGCCCCAGCCTCACCCGTGTGGCCATTGTTGCGTAAGCGCAGTTCTGGGAGAGGCGGGAGCTCAAAGCCCAGGATTTCCAGGGGTTGCAGGGCCGGGCAAAATACGGTGAGCTCTGGGCGGATATCTACCGGCGATTGGAAGCGGCCTGCGCAGGCTGGGGACACCTGGGGCCAGGGCGGGTCGCCTGGAGAGAGTGTGGACAGGAAATCTGGTGACAAGATCAGGAACAGTTCGGAAAGCGGGGTAGAAAAAGTGAGGGGGGCGCCTGGGTGTCTCAGTCGTTAAGCGTCTGCCTTCGGCTCAGGTCATGATCCCAGGGTCCTGGGATGGAGCCCCGCGTGAGGTTCCCTGCTCTGCGGAAAGCCTGCTTCTCCCTCTCCCATTCCCCCTGCTTGTCTTCCCTCTCTCGCTGTGTCTCTGTCTCTGTCAAATAAATAAATAAATAAAATCTTAAAAAAAAAAAAAAAGGAAAAAGTGAGGGGGTGGAGTGAGAAGGCATAGGGCGGGAAATAGAAATCAGGGTTGTGGACAGAGACAGGGAGCCGTCGGTGCTGGGGACTGGCAGACAAGGATGCAGTGGGTGGGACGCCCAGGAGCAGAGTTCGGGATGGCTGGGGGCTCACACCAGCAGAGCAGGGTGACCAGGTTGGGTGTGCAGGGCGTGGGTGTCTCACCTCCATAGCGCCAATGATCGTGGTCATCCCCTGCATCAATGAGAAGGATGAAAAGCTGATCTTTAAGCCTAGTCCCTCCCCAGCAGCCAGAAAGAGGTGGGTCTCCCTCACTAGTAGGGGTTCTCCAACTCAGATACCTTACAGGGGCATAGCAGGTAACCGAAATGCCTAACGTGACCAGGTATAAAGCACAACAGATTGCAACCAAACATAACACCATAGCTTGGTAGACCAAAGATCCTACCGGCCCCAGAGATAATCAGTTTGCAACTGCTATCTTAGTCTGTAAAGTGGGTGGGGGCCTCAGTCCCCAGGCCCAAATCAATACACCCTCTTCCCTTTCTCCTTGTCTCCAACTCCCTTCCCAAGGTTCCTTGTTTCTGAGTCAAATTATTAGGTTCCCCTACTTGCTAGTCCTTCTTCCTAGATCTCAGTTTCTTCATCTGTAGACTGAAGATGAGGTGATCTCTACAAGCCCTTCTGGCTCGGCTACCCAACCCCGCCCCCCCCCCCCCCGCCATCTTTCCTCTTTTCTTCCCTTATATTCTTACTTCTCTCCACCTATGTCCTCTCTTTCCACATCTTTCTCCTCTCCAACCTCCTCCTTTTTTCTTTCTCATCTCTTCCTGCTCACCTCTCTCCATCTGTGCTTTTTTGTCTCCCCACTCATCCCCTTCGAGGTCTGATGGGGGGCGGGGGGGGAGGGTCTAATGGCATGAGATTCCCTGGGGATGGGAAAGGCTACTGTCAGAGTACAGGCCCCTTTCCTTCTCTGAATAAATCCCTGCCGGGGCTGGGGTTTAGTGAGGGGAGGACAAACCTCCTGGAGGCTAGATTTGGAGGGCTGATGACCACTTACCTTTGTTGTGCCTGTGGGCATTATTCTGGGAGTCGGGGGGATCCCTGGGTGCCTGAACAGTAGGCAAATCCTCTAACTTCAGAGAGTCCTCTTTTCCTGGTTCAGTCTTCATTCCAGATGGGTCCTCCTCTCCTGGTGGGTCCTCCTCTCCTGGTGGGTCCTCCTCTCCTGGTGGGTCCTCTTCACTGGGTAGGTTTTCCTCATCCAGCTGATCATCTTCCCCAGATGAATCTCCGCCCAGCCCGGCCGACCCCTGCATCCGGGACAGGCTCTGGGGCTGGGCAGGCACCAGGAGCAGCAGCACCAGCAGCAGCTGCACGGCAGGGCCCGGAGAAGGGGCTGGGATCGGCAGAGGGAGCCGGGGACTGGGGCACAGGGGAGCCATGTGGCTGACTGCGGGGTGTCCCAGACACGGTGTGTACGGGCTGTACGTGCATCGGAAACAGGAGCTGGGTGGGGAGGAGCAAGCCTGGAGGGGAGCAGGCTGACTCACAGAGGGCCCTTTTGTAGAGATGGAGCCAAAGTCCTGTGGGTCTGCCTGGCCCTGTGCCCCTTCCCCGATACCAAAGCCTGGATGGGGGTGGTGTGAGAGGCAGGTGTGTGCACAGGCAGGAGGTTATCGGGGTCACAGGCTCAGCCTGGAACCCAAGGCACCACCTGGCACTACACAGGCTCTCCCTGGCACTGCCCAGCTGCTCACCAGCCAGCCTCAGCTAACCCTGGCCTGCTTCCCAGCCCCAGGAAGAGAAGGGGAAAGACAGGGAGTTGGGGGCCCCACAGCCTCTGGCTGAGAGGGGAAGCAGCCCATGGATATATCCCTGGCCTAGCCAGGGAGCAGATAAAGGGGTAGGACAAGCTGTTGGGGAAGCCTGGGAGTGGGTGGACAGAGAGGTAGGTGGGAGGTGAATCTGAGTATAAATGAAAAACTGAGTATATGTAAGAGAGGGACTGTGATGGCTTTAAACTAAATTTATTTTTCACATTACACCTCTGCTCAAAAACCTTCATTGGTTTCCACCTGCCCATCTTCTTCCTGCAGTTGACTTTCAAGCCCTTCAAAATCTTACCCAAGAAACCATTCCATTTTATCTCTTACTATTCTCCCTCATACTCCAGCCAAATTAAACTATTCATTTTTCCCCCCAGACCTTTGACCACCTTTGTTCATCTAGTTCTCACTGCTGGGAATACCACTCACTCTTATATTTAACAAATATTTATTTAGCATCTACTATGTCCAGCACTGGGCTATGGACTAAAGGTACAGAAATGAATAAGACACAGTCCCTGTCCTAAGGAGCTTACTGTCTAGTGAGTGAGGGCAAACATTATCACAATATTCAGTGGAGAGAGATTAATTCTGCCTCAGAAAGTAATACAGAAATAGGCAAAATCTGGGGCGCCTGGGTGGCTCAGATGGTTAAGCGTCTGCCTTCAGCTCAGGTCATGATCCCAGGGTCCTGGGATCGAGTTCCGCATCGAGCTCCCTGCTCCGCAGGAAGCCTGCTTCTCCCTCTGCCTCTCTCTCTCTCTCTCTCTCTCTGTGTCTCTCATGAATAAATAAATAAATGAAATCTTTAAAAAAAAAAAAAGAAATAGGCAAAATCTGATCGGGACTTTGAAGAAGTAGCAATTCAATTGCTAATAACACTGGGAAGAATGGTATTTTGTGCAGAGGAAAGGCATCAAATATCTTGTGCAGGAGAATGACAGAATCCAATTCTCATATTAGGTTGTAATGAGGGCTGGTGTGGAGCATGGATTTGAGGGGGAGAGCACGTGCAAGGAGATGAAGAGTGAAAGGACCCCAAGAATGGACTTGGGGTTCCCAGTATGCCTATTCATTTGAGAAACATTTATTGAGCCTCCTCCCATCCTCCAGGTACTGTTCTAAGCCCTAGGGATGCAGCACTGAACTAGAGACCTGCCTCTGCTGTTCTGTAGCTCACATTCTAGTAAGGTCCCTATGGCTCCAACAAACCAAAAGAGAGTAAGGCCATCTCAGGAAGTTCCTATCTGGGGCTCACATTCAGTAGATATGCACCAGTGCGGTTGTATGGATTAGAGAAATTTGTTGAAGTATTTCTAATCCTATCGAGAACTAGTCCCTAGCTTCAGGGTGCTCCGGCTACCTCCCTCCTCTCTGGGGACTGTACTGATCTCTTATCTAAAGAGGTAATGCCGGGCACCTGGGTGGCTCAGATGGTTAAGCGTCTGCCTTCGGCTCAGGTCATGATCTCAGGGTCCTGGGATCAAGTCCCGCATCAGGCTTCCTGCTCCTTGGGAGCCTGCTTCTCCCTCTGCCTCTCTCTCTCTCTCTGTCTCTCATGAATAAATAAATAAAATCTTTAAAAAAAAAAAAAAAGAGGTAATGCCTGGCACAGCAGAGGCCCAAGGACCCCACTTGAACACCCCAGCCACCTGCCACTGTCATGAATCAGTACTTGTGTACCCTCTACCCTGTTAGTTTTACTCTCTGTCCTGTCTAAACCCCTTCTATGGTTCAAGACTCAGCTCAAAGGCCACCTCTTCCACTTTCTACCACAGGAAGAGATTTCTGGTGCCTCTGAACCATCACAGTTCTTTGCCTGCCCTTGCTAATAACCTCGCCCACCATCCAACTTATATTATGGTGATTTATGACATTTTATCTGCTCTAATAGCCTTGAGTTCCATAAGGATAGGGTCCAGTATTTAATTATTTTATTCACCAACCGTTATTGAGCATTTTTCTCTCTGCAGATCACCTTGCCATGACTTGAGAAAAACCATATTGACTAAGATGCCTTCCCTGCCCTCAGGGAGCTCAGTCGATGACTTGTGTTTGTCAAACCACAGCTGTTCCAAGAGCATGATGGCACATTTTTACAGCACCCCAAATTATCTGCCTTGTCAGATTGTCACACTGTATACCAAAACTTTCACAGAGCTGAACAGCTGCTGTCCTCCAAGGAGGCAGTCAGCCTAACAATCTGGGTTGCTATCTCTGGGGCCAAATTAAGAGCCATCTATGGAAATCTGATCCAGTGTGCAATGTGGAAGGTCAGCTTATTGCCTGGGTCAGCTGTGATGTCAGCACCTTGGTTAGACACTGACACATGGAGGGTACATGGTAGTATCTGAATTGGATGGACTGGACAAGACAGAATGTGGTAAGACGAATCTAGTTGAGGTGGAAGAGTTCATGGGAAGTACAGAAGACAGAAGCACCGTGCTAACTGGAGTCTGGAGTCTGTATGTGTGGAGATCTTTCTCCAAGGCCCATCCCAGCTTTACTTCACTTTCCCTCTTTCCAAATGTTCTTATTTCCATTGTTTTCCCATTTAGGTCTCTGTCAGGATTCCCTGGTACACTTCTCCGCAGCACTCTATATATCCACACGTCTCCCTGCCGTCTCAGCTGCTTTTAGTCAGTATTTCAGAGCCTAGATCTGTGTCTATGAGCAGGTCTCTCTCTGTTTCAGCCTTTTAATTTTCCAAACGCCATTCTCCATGGTGCTATCTCTTTCTTAAGCGCTCTGTTTCTGTGTGTGACTGTCTCTGGTCTGGGTGGGGAGTATAGACTCTGACCCTGGATCATGCCTTTGCAGCTGGGAGACTGCCAAACTCTAAAACAGGTTTGAGCTCCCAGAGTCTTATTCAGGGAGCTTTCCCAGGTTGGGACATGGTGTACTCAGGACCAACTGACTGGGTCACCCCCTGCCTGATGCATGGCCTCTCTGTGTATTTATGGCCAAGTTTTTGGTGGTTAGGGTCTGTGTCTTCAGACATGTAGGGCCATGTTTCTGCTCATCCCACAGCTGCAGAAGAGACTCATAGTGATACTGACTACATGGGATTATCTGTCCCCTTCCACCCATGAACTCTTAGTGTGGACTGCCCCACATTCACTTGAGACAGTGTAACCAGTCCTCACCTATATGATGCCACCAGTTTCCTTACAACCCAAGTCCAAGGTACAGTCTGACCCAAAATTTCTCTTTCCGTCATCCAACCCTTCAAGTTGTTTTTCCCTGATCTAAGTCCAGCATTTCTCCTTAGAATTCTTAGAATGTCAGTGAGCTAAAGGGGACCTCAGAACCCTAACAGTACTCTGGTTCTTGTCTTGGGTTCCAAATTCCTAGGAGTCCACAGTGGTAGGAATGCAGGGTCTGAAGGTTTCTTAACATTTTGGTCTTTAAGAGTATTTTTTTCCTAGTTAAAAAGTAATGCATGTGGGGCACCTGGGTTGTTCAGTAGTTTAAGTGTCTGCCTTTGGCTCAGGTCATGATCCCAGGGTCCTGGGATCAAGCCCCGCATCAGGCTCCCCTGCTTCTTGCTCTCCCTCTGCCTGCAGCTCCCCCTACTTGTGCTCTCTCTCTGTCAAATAAATAAATAAAATCTTTAAAAAAATAAATAAAAATAAAAAGTAATGCATACATGCTCAAGCAGAAAACTCGGGAAAAGAAGAAAAACATAAGGGAATTTTAAAAATCATCCTATTTGTCCCATTCACCCCTTTAACCTCAGCGATCCAGTGCCTAGCACAGATTAGGTGCTTAAAAAAATATTTGTGGAGTGCATTAACTTCAATCCCATCACCCAGAGATAACAACCACAACTACCTCTTGACTACTTCCAGTCCTATATATGCTATACATATATGGGATCATATTGTACAAACAGCTTTGTTAGCCTGCTTTTTTTGGTTTTGGCAATATACTCTGTGTTTTTCCATATTGATAGGTTTTTTACATTTTTAATGCTTTCGTATTATTCCTTCAAATAGCTGTACCATAATTTTCCTAGTCAATTCTCTTTTTTTTCCCCCTAGTCAGTTCTCTACCACTGGACATTTAGATGGCTTCCAGTTTTCTATTGTTACAAACAACACTGTACCACCCATTCTGGCATATATATTTTTGTCCACATATCTGGTTCTTTTTTTTTTTTTTTAAGATTTTATTTATTTATTTGAGACAGAGAGAATGAGAGACAGAGAGCATGAGAGGGAGGAGGGTCAGAGGGAGAAGCAGACTCCCCGCCGAGCAGGGAGCCTGATGCGGGACTCGATCCCGGGACTCCAGGATCATGACCTGAGCCGAAGGCAGTCGCTTAACCAACTGAGCCACCCAGACGCCCACATATCTGGTTCTTTAGGGTGCATTTCTAAAAATGGAATTGCTAGGTCATAAGAGTAACCACACTTTAAGACTTCTTATACATCCTGGCAAAATGGTACTGCCAATTTACCCTCCAGGGCTACTGTCAATTTTTTGAAAGACCTAACGAAGTAAGGAAAATCTGGTTCATTTTATCTTTGACTAGGTAGCACAGACTAATCAACTCCAAGCTTTAGCCTTTGGCCAGAATTACAGCAATTCTGACCACCACATTAGTTACTGACGTTTACTGACCAGGAGCTAATGGGCTGTCAGGTTTTGGATCAGTATGAAAGGAGAAAACGAGTTAGTAACTTAAAACCTAAAACTTTTTTTTTTTTTTTTTAAGATTTTATTTATTTATTTGAGACAGAGAGCACATGAGAGGGGGGAGGGTCAGAGGGAGAAGCAGACTCCCCGCGGAGCAGGGAGCCTGATGTAGGACTCAATCCAGGGACTCCAGGATCGTGATCGAAGGCAGTCGCTTAACCAACTGAGCCACCCAGGCGCCCAAAACCTAAAACTTTTGTCCAAGGGCCAAAATATTTCAAACCGTGTGACCCGTGAGGTTTCCTAGTAGTTAAAGCACTGGGGACGACTGGGCCCCCGAGTCTGGCACAGGCCCAGGACAGAATATGTACGGTAATTATTGCCCCCTTCCTAATTTTACAGATAGGACACTGAGGCCCCGCTGGTGTCTGCACTCCCAAATCTCCTGACTCAAGGTCCAGAATGCTGCCCAAATTTAGCGCCACTCCAGAGGAGGGCCACCCACCTGCCCCACTCGTTGCTGCCTGAGCCGGCTTCTCGCACCTGCAGCGCCGCCCTGGCGGTAGGGCAAAGCCGTAACGGCAGAGACTCGATGCGGGGCGGCAGGCCGCCGCGCATGCTCCGTCCTGCGTGCAGCCTCCCGGCGCCAGGCGGCGCGCTCCTCTCCCCGGCCCCGGCCCCGCCCCCGCCCCCGGAGCGGTTGGGATTTGAATCTCCGGCGGGCTGCGGCCGGAAGGACCGACCCCTCAGCCCGGCATGGAGAGGTCGGGCGCCAGCGGACGGTGCCCAGTGCAAGAGCAGCGTGCCCGTTGGGAGCGGAAACGCGCCTGCACTGCCCGGGAGCTGCTGGAGACCGAGCGGCGCTACCAGGAACAGCTGGGGCTGGTGGCCACGGTGCGGCCGCGCACGCCCTCCCGTATGGGGCGGGGACCCCAGGGTATGGGAGGGTCTCTGCGAGGTCGGTGACCCCGAGTATGGTGGGTCTTGGGCTGTCCGTCTGCATGTAGGGAGCTCAGGAATTCTACAGTTTCTAGCGGCGGCTTGGCATTAGCCTCCTCTTCCTGCAGACTATATACCGGTATTCTCCTTCCGCAGTATTTCGTGGGGATTCTGAGAGCCACAGGCACCCTGCGACCAGCAGAGCGCCAGGCCCTGTTTGGGCCCTGGGAACTCATATACGGCGCCAGCCAGTGAGTAGAAGGGCGTGGGGAGAGAGAAGAGGGAAGGCCCTGGCCTCTGGCAGTGCACGAAGCTTGGAGTGGGGGGAGACCCAAGTTCATATACGGAGTCTGCCAATTACCTCACCTGTGCTCTTGGCCCAGTGCCTTACCGTGCCCCACCCTCCATCTGTAAAATGGGGTAATACCACTACCTCCAGGGCAAGGTTATGAGAATTCAGTAAGGTGGTGCTTGGTAGTTGTTGGACTGCTCTTTTACTGTCCTCACCCACGCAGAGAGCTGCTTCCCTACCTTGAAGGAGGGCACTGGGGACAGGGGCTGGAAAGCTTCTGCCCCCACCTGGAGCTCTACACTCAATTTGCTGCCAACGCAGAGGTGTCCCGGACCACCCTGCAGGTAACCTGAAGATAATCTCAAGTCCTTCCCTTCTTGCCCCATAAGCTGCCTCTTCCTCTGAGCTCCAAACTTCATTCATACTGTTCCTACATTTATAGAGCCCCATGGGTGTCCCCATCTGTCCTAGGTTCACTCTAGGGCTTCTCTCAGTAGCACACAGCTTACAGAGGGCTGGGGGAGTGTACACAGATGAATACAATCTAAGGAGTGGCTTCTCTCCCTGCTGCCAACCCTTTCCTCATCCCTTCAGGAGCAATTAAAGAAAAACAAACGTTTCCGGAGGTTTGTGCGACTTCAGGAAGGCCGCCCTGAGTTTGGAAGCCTTCATCTTCAGGATCTGCTCCCTCTGCCTCTGCAGAGGCTCCAGCAGTGAGTAAACTCACCTGGACTCAGCCAACTTCTCTTTTCTGAGTCTGTATGATTGCTGCTGTCAGCTTTGTGGGGTTTATGGCTTCTGTCGCACTGCCTCTCCTGGGACAAACTGCTCCTAAAGACCTCTTGCAAGAGTGTAAACCCACTGGAGTAGCTGGAGTCTGCAGCCTCAGCCCCTTAGCTAGGAATGTGGAACTCTGCATTGAAGTGAGGGGGCCTGTAATAGAGCTAGTGACAAGCAAGGTATCTGGAAGAGTTTGTTGAGATGAGAGGTTTGCCTACCTTAGACTTCTGTTCCTGGGGCTGTTAAGAGGATACAGTCAGGTTATCTCTAACATCCTCCTTGGGTGGATTAATTTTCATCTTGGGATCTAGACTCCCAAATTATGGTCTGCTCCTGACTCTTCAGTGTGGGATGGAAGAGGGCCATGTGGTCTGAGCCCAGGTTCTGAGTCCCAGATGAAAGAGGGAGATGCAATCATCAGAAGCAGATCTTTCCTGGCCTTGCAACTGAAGTGTGTGTCGGGAGCGATCTGTATGTCAGGCAGAAGGAATTCTGCCCAGCTCTACTTCCCCTCATGGACTTCCAGCTGTCTTAATTCCAGATATGAGAATCTTGTCATGGCTTTGGCTGAAAACACAGGTCCCAACAGCTCTGACCACCAACAGCTCACACGTATGTTCTTGCTCCTCTGAAACACAGGCAGGAGGCTGCCTCTCCTGTATCCCTCTCTGGTTCTGACCAACAATGTCCGGTATGTCCCTGTCTTCCATTGACATGTACACAATGTGCCTGTTGCCCTGCCTGCTCTCCAAGAGGTTAGACCCTCACCCCAGTCCCCTCCAGAATAGCGTTTCCCCACCATCAGTCACCCAAAGTCAAAGCTGTACTGGGAGTAGGGCGGGGGATATTTTCCAGGGGCTGCCCGGCTGATAAGTGAGACCGCCCAGAGAGTCCACAGCATTGGTCAGAAACAGAAGAATGACCAGCACCTCCGGCGTGTTCAGGGTTTGCTCAGTGGCCGCCAGGCAAAGGGGCTTACCTCAGGTAGTCTGAACACTCCCCTTCTCCCCCCCAGACCTCAAACTACCCTTTTCTGACCCTCCTTTTTCTGTATTGCCAGCACATACGCCCCATTTCCTTAGCCTCCCCTTCCTTCTGCTCCCATGGATCATGGTCCTGGAGCTGCACCAGAATAACAGCTCTCCCACCCCCCAGGTCGCTGGTTCCTACGCCAGGGCTGGCTATTGGTAGTGCCTCCCCATGGGGAGCCTCGGCCCCGAATGTTCTTCCTCTTCTCCGATGTGCTCCTCATGGCCAAACCTCGACCCCCACTGCACCTGCTGCAGAGTGGCACCTTTGCCTGCCGTGCCCTCTACCCCATGGCCCAGTGTCAACTCCAGAGGGTCTTTGGCCACTCAGGAGGCCCTTGTGGTGGACTGCTCAGCGTAAGTTATGGGCGGGAGCCCTAGTTAGGTAGGAGAGGCTCAAAACAGACTTCAAATGCCTATGTACTATTTATCTCCTTGGCCTGGGCCCCCTTCAGAGGAACTAAGCCACCTGCATTGAGATAGTGGGGGCTTGGGGTTCATCCCTAATTTTCACCTCAGCCCTGAATTACCTCCATGGAAATAGCAAGGCTTTCAGCTTTAGCCTGGACCTTTCTGAGCCATGAGCTAAGAGGTGATTTCTCCCTAGCTGTCCTTTCCCCATGAGAAGCTACTGCTTATGTGCACAGACCAGGAGGAGCTGTTGCGCTGGCACCACAGTTTGACTCTGGCCATCAGGTAAGATGTGCCTTCGCTCAGAAGACTGCTGTGATGAGGCCCATGGGCTAGGAATGAGCAATTCTAATCCTATCTCACATCTTACACCTGCTGGGCTGCCCCACCCCCAACGCCTTGGGTGATTTTGTCTGAATAGCGTGCTCAGGCCAGTGCCTGAACTGTCTTCTCTCCACAGCAGCCAGAAGAACTAGAAGAATCTTAAAATTCCAGAACCCAGGATACTTGAGGGATAGGTCAAAGTCAGCAGTACAGAGAAATCTTCAGTACTAACTAAACAAAACACAGAACCCTCCATGGTTTGAGAAGGGTCGTTTCGGGTTTGCTTGGGACCAAACTGCCAGCTTATCTGACCAGCCCTTAAGAATCAGGAAACCAAGTCCAACCCAGCTGAAGCTCTGCTGAACCAGCCCCTCCAACGCAGATGAGGGGATTCAGGACTGATAAGCTCGGTGCTGGGGCTCTGGCTGGTTGTTTATCAAGACTGCAGCTTTGTAAACGTGGATGTTTTTATGTTGTATGCAGTTTCTATAATTTATTTTCCCACTGGATTTCAGTAAAGTTTTTTTTTTTTCTTAACCTTTTTGGAAAGGCCTTTCTGTCTCGGCTCTGCGATATGAGAAAGAAAGGTTTTTGTGCCCCGAAGGCTGGCATGATGGTGGCCTCAGGAATACAAGGAAAAGAGCTGGAGCTCCCTCTATCTCTCAGCTCTCACACTGGAAGTTGGCCTCTTTTTATCCTAATAAGGGAAGCTTTCCAAGAAGGCCCTGTTGCTCTTGGGCACCTAGTATGGGTGTGTGTAGGACCAGCTGGAATGGAAAAAGCACACAGGAGTACCCAGTCACAAGAACAGACTTTGTTTTACTAAACCTTCCGCTGTAATTTCTCCTTGCCAGCGGGGGCTGTGACTGCGGCCCTTCCCACAGCCTTGCTGCATCTTCTCCTTAGCCCCTGCTCCACTTCCCAGGGAGTAGCTAGGGTTCTTGTCTCTGTGCTCCAGTTTAAGGGCTCCTCCCAGGCCTGACTGTCACCAGCCTCCTCCTCTATACATAAGTCCTCAGGAAAAGGTATGCTGGCCTCTGCGAGGGGAAAGATCAGGCATATTCCTATCTCAGAGACTGTCTCTACCTCCACCAGACTCACCGCCCAACCCTTTACCTGGTTCTGGAATGTCCACACCCTTGTTTGGCTTGCTGTCTTGTAACAGCTGGTGGATGGTCTGAAGCTTCATATTCAGAAGCTCTTGCTGGGCTCCAGCCAGGGTAGTCACACTGTAGAAATACCCACTCAGAGGCTAGCCGATTTCTCTCCCCACCTCTTCCACCTATCACAGAGCTCCCCTGGCCACAGGGCCATTGCTCTTCTTACCGCTCAAAAAGGGGGTCCAGTTGGGCCATCAGATTGTTCAGGTGTTGCTCTGTCTGGGCCAGCTGTTGTGTCAACTGGGCCAGCTGTTGCTCTGGGGGTAAGGGAGAAAAGGAGAGCAATGGTTATTCATACCTTCTGCTGTCCCCTAATCCCCTACCAAACACAGACTTGTGCAAAACCCACCTGACTGCAATGATTCCTTCTTGCCTGCCTCTTCTTGGAGAACTGCAGCCTCATCTTTCCCCTGCTATAGAAGAAAGAGAGGGCTAGCCTGCAGCAACAAGCTTCTCCATCACCTGTGTCTCCAAAGCCAGTGAGAGGAGGATAATTTGAAGTCAAGAAAGCTATAGAGTTTTTACTTCAAAGAATCACATCTCGCCTAGCTCCCCACCCAGGACCTGAAGCAACCTGTCAGTATGTCCCCACACGTGGTCATTCAGTCTAATAAAACTCCCAGGAATGAGCAGCTCTCTCCAGTTTGAGAACGCTCTGGTTGTTAGTTTATATACAAAACCAGAATTTTTCCTTCATGTATCTTCTTTCCATGTTGCCTTCCAAAATCATGTCTTTTCAACACGATAGCCACTCAGGAATTTGAAGACAATGGTCCTTGCCCACTCCCCTTCCCCATGTCTTATCTGGTTTAATATCGCCAATTTTATTCAGTCAGTGCTCATCTGACATGGCTTTCCCTGGTTGCTCTACTGGGCATGTAGTGTTCTTAAAAGCAGTGCCCTGAAGAGAATAAAATTCTCCAGGGGTGTTCTGATCAGAAGATGAGGTGCAATACTTGTTCCTAGCATTGATTGGGGAAATGGGTTGTCACATCACACGACTCAACTTTATTATTCAACTAATAAACTGCTAAGTTCTGTTTCTTCCAAATAGTACTTGGGTCCACAAAGAGAATTTATTATCGATTCTCTTTAAATTTCCTCATTAAATTCGGTCCCTCATCCTAACCTATCTATTTGGAATTATGATTAGCTATCCCTTTTAATTTCATACCATCTCCAAACTTGTTCAGCCCTCTACTTCCCAATGCAAATAAGTAATCGGGCCAGGTTTGAAGATAGAGCCGTGGGAGGTATTACTTTCCATCCAACCATTTACATACACTAAAATGTACTGTCAGTTTACATTTCAGGGCCTCCTTTCTAAGGAGATCATGAGACTGGTGCCTTGGATATTGTGGCTACAGCAATCAACGCTTTGTGCCAAGACTGGAATTTTACCAGGAGCCACACTTTTATAGTATGGACACTTACTTGCTGGGTTCAAAACCCAGCCCTACCAGTTTCAACTAGCTCTGCGTGACTTTGAGCAAATGACTTAACTCTTCATTGGACTGTTGGGAGTATTTATTTACAATTTACCAAGCGTCCTTTACATCTGCTACCTCGCTGGATGCTCAAAATAACCCCCTAGTGTTGGAAAGCTAAGGAACTACAGTCTTCGTTTTACAGACTGACGGAAAGAAGTGTCTTTTCATGGTACCATAGCGCCCCCATGGGAGATTCAGGCCCGGGACATCCCCGCCCCTGGTCGTCCCGCACCTGCAAACACTTGTACAGCACAAAAGCCACGACAGCTGCGGTGTACAGCGCCCCCAAAGGCAGAGCTCCCGCCCGGGCCCGCTCGCGCTGGTCCTTGGGCGGCTGCCGACGCCGGGGTTCCGTGGCCTCAGGGCCGACCTGGGCGGGGTCCCCTGCGGAGGACGGCAGAGGTAGGTCAGTAGAGCTGGGGCCTGAGACCCGTGGGCAGTCCTAGCCTCCCTCCAGCAGCCCTCGCTGATACCTGGGTGTGCCCGGAGGTCGGGGCTGGGGCGGTCTCCGAGGACCCCGGGCAGTGCAGACACAAGTAGCAACCCCAGCAAACCCGCAAGCGAGACCGAGCCCGCCATTGCCGACCACAGAATGAAGGCGCCGCCGGCGCCAGCGTTAGCCGCGAGCCCCAGCGCGCATGCGCAAGAGGGGCGGTGCGTGGGTCCCGCTCCGGGACGCGCGGGGAGGTCACGCCCATTTTAGTGTGTGGGCGGGGCACGCTTATTAGCATAGGACTTTGGCCCAACTTTGCTAAATGAATTCATTTCTCATCTATTTAGAATCCCATTAGCCAGAATGTTTCTAGAAGCCAACAATCTCATAAGATTATGCTGGAAAATGGACTTTATTTCTCATGCTAGCAACCCATTCACCCTAATCAAAAAATGAGTACTTTGGCCAACCTTAAAAGACTGGAGCGTGAGGGGTGGAACAGTTCGTGCTGAAGGCCTGTTTCCTAGGCTACAAACGAGGGACTGGTTCCTTATTCGTGCCTAGGGGAAAGTCCCCGGACCCTTGGCAGAGAGTGCCGCGTGCGCGTGCACGTTGACTTTCCCTGCTTCGCACAGTAATGTCCGCCAAGAAGCGCTCCCGTCTGCGGCGGGGGAGCTGAGCGGCGTGTTGGCGGGGCGTCGTCCGTCAGCATTTCTAGTTACGCAGGCAGTGCGCCTGTGCGCACCAACCACACGGGGCTCATTCTCAGCGCGGCTTACTTTTAGAGATGTGAGTAAGCCTTCCTCTTAGGAGGGCTTGTGCCGGGCTCCTGTTGCTCGTTCAGACAGGGAACTGCTTTCCACGTCCGTAAGTGAGCTAATTCACCCCTGAACTATTCCCTGCTATGACTTAATACACTCATATGTCTTTTCTTTTCTTTCTTTCTTTTTTTTTTTTTTTGCAGTTCCCTCTTCCTACAATGGCCTCCTCTTCCCCACCCTCTCCAATTGGCAAATGCTTCTAATACCACCATTCATTGTGTAGCATGGCACACAGTAGACTATGGACTGATTGCCCGGCCTAGAATCCTGCCTCCACTACTCGAAAGCTAAATGACTTTGGGCAAGTTCTTAATTTCTCTCTATGCCTCAGTTTCCACTCTGAGGAATGGAGATAATGATAATACATATATGTGCCTCACAGAGTTGTTATGATGATTAAGTGGGATAATCCAAGTAAAGTGCTTAGAACCGTGCCTACCTCCTAGTGATTTTAACTTGAGCAGGTGCTCCGAGCCAGGCACTTGAAATTATAACTCTCTTTGGAACCTTCCACTGCTATTTCCTTTCTGTACAGTTAACATCTACACACCCTTCAGGTCTCAGGTGTGTTTCCTTCATTCAGAACCCTTAACTTCGAATTTATTCATTAGTGCAGCTATTGTACTTTCTTTAAATCATCATCATGTGGGAAAAAGTGCTCAATATCGCTCGGCATCAGGGAAATCCAAATCAAAACCTCAATGAGATACCACCTCACACCAGTCAGAATGGCTAAAACTAACCAGTCAGGAAACGACAGATGTTGGCGGGGATGCAGAGAAAGGGGAACCCTCCTACACTGTTGGTGGGAATGCAAGCTGGTGCAGCCACTCTGGAAAACAGTATGGAGGTTCCTCCAAAAGTTGAAAATAGAGCTACACCATATGATCCAGCAATTGCACTACTGGGTATTTACCCCAAAGATACAAAAGTAGGGATCTGAAAGGGTACGTGCACCCCGATGTTTACAGCAGCAATGTCCACAATAGCCAAACTGTGGAAAGAGCCAAGATGTCCATCGACAGATGAATGGATAAAGAAGAGGTGGTATATATATACAATGGAATATTATGCAGCCATCAAAAGGAATGAGATCTTGCCATTTGTAACGACATGGATGGAACTGGAGGGTATTATGTTGAGCGAAATAAGTCAAAAAGAGAAAGACATGTATCATATGACCTCACTGATATGAGGAATTCTTAATCGCAGGAAACAAACTGAGGGTTGCTGGAGTGGGGGGGAGGTGGGAGGGATGGGGTGACTGGGTGATAGACACTGGGGAGGGTATGTACTCTGGTAAGCGCTGTGAATTGTGCAAGACTGTTAAATCTCAGATCTGTACCTCTGAAACAAATAATGCAATATATGTTAAGGGAAAAAAAAAAAGAAGAAGAAGAAGGTAGCAGGAGGGGAAGAATGAAGCGGGGGAAATCCGAGGGGTAGATGAACCATGAGAAACGATGGACTCTGAAAAACAAACTGAGCGTTCTAGAGGGGAGGGGGGTGGGAGGATGGGTTAGCCTGGTAATGGGTATTGAGGAGGGCACATTCTGCATGGAGCACTGGGTGTTATGCACAAACAATGAATCATGGAACACTACATCTAAAACTAATGATGTGGGGCGCCTGTGTGGCTCAGATGGTTAAGCGTCTGCCTTCGGCTCAGGTCATGATCCCAGAGTCCTGGGATCGAGTCCCGCATCGGGCTCCCTGCTGGGCAGGGAGCCTGCTTCTCCCTCTGCCTCTGCCTCTCTCTCTCTCTCTCTGACTCTCATGAATAAATAAATAAAAAACATTAAAAAAAATAAAATAAAACTAATGATGTAATGTATGGGGATTAACATAAGAATAAAAAAAAATCACCATCATGTGTTAGTTATATCTTTAATAAAACTGGAGAAAATCCATTTTGGTTCTTTAAAATCAGTTAATTAAAAATCAATCAATCCATTAAAATTAATTATAAAAAGAAAATACCGCTAGACTGTATATTGCAAGAGAGCAGGGGCCATATTTCTTTATCATTTTATTCCTACAGCTTAGCACACCTCCTGGCTCTAGCAGGCACTCAACGAATCCTTGCTGAATGAAATACAACCCAACAGGTAAATACAATTAAGCTCTTTTTTTTTTTTAAGATTTTATTTATGGGGCGCCTGGGTGGCTCAGTCGTTAAGCGTCTGCCTTCGGCTCAGGTCATGATCCCAGGGTCCTGGGATTGAGTCCCACATCGGGCTCCCTCCTCGGGGGGGAAGCCTGCTTCTCCCTCTCCCACTCCCGCTGCTTGTGTTCCCGCTCTCTCTATCTCTGTCTCTGTCAAATAAATAAATAAATAAAATCTTTAAAAAAAAAAAGATTTTATTTATTTGTTTGAGACAGAGAGAGCACAAGCGGTGGGGAGGGCAGAGAGAAGCAGACGCCCATGTTCAGCAAGGCGGTGGGGGTGGGGGCTGGATCCCAGGACCCAAAGATCATGAGTTGAGCTGAAGGCAGACATTTTACTGACTGAGCCACCCAGGCGCACCTAATTAAGCTCTTTTAAAGAATGAGTCTCCGTTGGGTTCCATGCTCAGAGGGGAGTCTGCTTCTCCCTCTGCCTCTGCCCCTCCCCTTGCTCGTACTCTCTCTCTCTCAAATAAATAAATATTGAAAAAAAATAAATAATAAAAAAATAATGAGGAAACAAAGGTTCAGGACGGTTAAGTAAGTTCATCACGTAAAAGGCAAGTCAGAGATTGCAAAGCTTTTCTGTTTCCCTATCAGTTACTGCATATCACCCCCCCGCCCCAACCCCCAGCCCTTCCTTTCACTGCCAAGACCTCAGGCAGACCTGCAGAGTTTCCTTGTGTTTCATGCTGCCTTTTAATTGTCTGGAATACATTGGGTCATCTTCCTAATTAGATCAAGAGCCCTTTGAGGAAAGAAACCATTTCCCACTCACATCTTTATCTCCAAAGCTTGGCACATAAGCAAGCGATCAGCACACATGACAAATGAATGAGGTATATGTGTGCTAAATAAATGAATGAACTAGCAGTGTATCTTCTGTTCTTCCAGAAATGGAGGGGGCAGGGGAGGGAGGAGAGACCCGCACTCAAGGGAGTTACTGTAGTCTATCTAGAGACAGCCTGGTTGCAGAGCAGTGTAGTCCAAACCTTGACCCTAAGCCAGTTGGCACAGTCAACATAAACAAGTGGTTCAGGCCAGGTATGATATGATAAATGGCCCTCAACTGATTGTAGCCTTTAGGGAATTTGGGCCCACTATGCTAGACATATCACTGACCTCTGGTCTAAGGAACTTGAAATCCTTCTTCCACAGCAGAAGCAGTCCATGTGGTTGGGCTGTATCTGGGCAGAGCAAGTACTCCACTCCCTGAAGTGAACAAGGGCGAAGACATGGCTCAGCTCCCCAGGATATACTGGGGTAGAAGTTTCTTTAATTCAACTAACTTTTGAGATTGACAGTTCTTAGGGACAGTTTGGATGAAGTGGATCGGGAGGGGGGACTCTAAGTTTCCACTAGCCCCTAAACTATTATTATCAGTAATAATAAGAATGACAATGGTCATCTTATCCTCTACAGTCAGTCTTAGGGTGTGGTGGGATTGTAGGTACCAGGAGGCCTCCCCGTCTCATTCCTCTTTGTAGCATGCTCAGTGAGGAACACATTCTCTCTCACGGGTCTCAGAGTTGTAGAGAAAAGGCAGACACCCTGTGGCAGAAGGGAATCTCTGTCCTGAGGCCTGGCTTCCTTATCTTATTGGTCCTGCCTCATGCTACTTGTCTCCTGTCTTCATGGGCTCACCTGCACACTGGCACAGTAATCTCAGGCCTGCTTCTCTCTTCTCTGGCCAAAGAAGGTATAGGGCCATGGGGGTGGGGGGGGCGGAAGCTTGGGAGATGCTGGGTGGCGCAGGTGCAGGCACAGGGCGGTGTCTTTGTTCTTTCACTCATCCCTCCCCTCCCCCTTCCTTCCCGGAAACCAGTGACTCTGCCACCAGCAGTATTGGGGATGCTGAGCTGTGGGGGCCAGGCCCAGGGAGGGGTGAGAGTAAAGGGGCCTGCAGCAGCTATCAGGCCATAAACCAGGCTGACCCCTCAGCGCAGGGCTTGCAGACTCAGCTCCCAGGTCAGCAGTCATGAGCAGAGGTGACAACAGCACAGAACTGCTAGTGCCCGGTGAGCTGGGCGGGGCAGGGGCAGGGGGAGGGGTCACATGGCCCCATGTCCCACCTGCTAGGACCTGGAGGGTTGGGCTGGGCAGTAACACCCTCCGTCCGCTGGCATCCACAGGAATCCCCACCGTGACCCAGGCCTGGGGACTGTGGGCCCTCCTAGGGGCTGCGATGCTGCTGCTTCTCATCTCAGTGGCTGCGCACTTGTTCCGATGGGCTAGTGGCCGGAGCAAGAGCCGTCCGGGACAGGGACGGTGAGTGGGGGACAGCAGAGATAGGTGATCAAGAGCTCCCCCTTACCAAGAAGTCCCCTCATCCCCTAATCTCTGTCTTGCAGCTCTGGAGAATCTGTGGAAGAGGTCCCCCTATATGGGAACCTGCCTTATCTTCAGACTGGTAGGCGGCTGGCAGAGGGGAGGGGCACCGAGGCCACGCACGTCCCGGGTGGGTGGGGGTGGGATGAGGGATTGCAGGAGGAAGAACAAGAAGTGACCAGATCACTACTGTTCCCTCTCCCAGGTCGGCTGGCTCGAGAACCAGGGCCAGACCAGCAAGATCCAACTCCTAGAGGCCCCGTCACGGTGAGTCAGTTGGGGCTAAGAGGGGAGGGAGGGAAGTGGGGGCTTTTCCAAGGGTCCAGTGAACTTCTAACAGCCTTGAACCTCCAGGCTGCAGAGAAAGTGATGTGCTATACCAGCCTGCAGTTGCAGCCTTCTCAGGGCCATATCCCCAGCCCCGGAACCCCCATCAAGTACTCAGAGGTGGTGCTGGATTCTGAACCAAAGCCCCAGGCCTCGGGCCCCGAGCCGGAGCTGTACGCCTCAGTGTGTGCCCAGACCCGCAGGACGCGGGCTTCCTTCCCAGACCAGGCCTACGCCAACAGCCAGCCTGCACCCAGCTGAGATGGAAGGGCTGGCAGAGTGGGACAAGCATCGCCCCAGCCTCCTCTGCTGCAGGGGTTACTGCTACCCTGCCCTGGCATGACTGTTTCCCAACCACCCCCCAAAGACAGGTAGCCAAGGTCCAGTCGCAGGAGGTCATGTTTCCCAAACTTCCCCTCTAAGCTGTGAGGGAGACATCTCAGGGGAATAAGTCGGTCCTCAGTTTCTTGGGGATGGAGGAAACAAAGGCAGTGGCCCCCTCTCCATCTCTCTCTCTCTCTTTCCGATCTTTTCCTCTAAGGCCCCAAGCTCCCAAGTTTCTCACTTCCTCCTCCTTATGGATTTTAGCCAGATCCTCTCTGCTCCAGCCCCCTAAAATTTTCCCCTTTAGTGTCCCCTCAGATACAGGAAGTGGGCAGTGGTGGAGGGGATAACAGCCTGAGAGGAGAAGGGTGGGCATACTCCTTGGGAGCCCACAGTCTGGAGGGATCCTGGAACCTAGTGACCTGAGGAACCCAAGCCTGGCTTCTTATCTGAGAACCCTGGCTGGAGAATACCAGTCCACATCCTGCTCTGTTATGTTCTCAAGTTTCAAATAAAACTTCTCAGAAAGTGTTTAGATTTTTATCTAGAGGGCTTCAGACCTGCAACAGGGTCTATATGGTAGGAGTGTGAGCTTTGCTCTCTGCACAGAGCACTTCTGGGGGCGTCTTGCTGGGGAAGATGGACCAAAAGCGTCTGTGGCATCAACACTGCCAGGGTGGGTGCTAGGGGTGGAGGCTGGAGCCGAGCTCAAGCTGTACTTGCTGCTGCTAGAACATCGTCAGAATTTGCACTCAGAGCCACCCCACTCCCATCACCTGGAGCCTGCAAGCTCACCAGCCCCGGACCTACTCTCCCCATGGCCTCTAGGACTGTGCTGCCACCAGCCACAACCTCAAGTCTCCGTCACCTCCCCCTACGGCTTCTGTAGAGGCAAGTCTGGCTTAACAGACCTTTCTGAGGTTTCAGGGCCAGAAGATAGTGGAAGCCAGGCTTCTACTTCCAAACATCTCTCCTTCCCACTCACAGTCCCAGAGAAAACGGGAGTAGGGAGCCGTGCTCCTGAGCCCTACCTGGTGGTCCCAATAAGGCGGACCCTCTACACACACAGAGATTAACCCAAATGCTAGCTCTGCCTCCATGGACCTCAGCCTGGGCCTCCCCGAGCAGAGGCGCCGGTCGCGGTAAAGAACAGGCAGCTGAGGCTGTGTGGGAGGGAAGGTAGCTTTGGGGGCTGGCACCGGATGCGGGGAACAACTGGCTGCGGGATGTGGGGTTCTGAGGACTGCTGCTAGTCTGAAGACCGCTCAGTGTGTCCGCGGCCTGGGGGACGTGAGAGCCAGACTCTGTAATTGAAGGGGTTTGGGGTCCCGCCAACCCACTGGGACGAGGCGGAAATTGAAGCCTCAAACACCACCATCGCAGGCCTTACACCCCGCCTCACACCCGCTCTGCCGGTCTCCGCCGGCTCAAGACCAAACCCGGGGCGCCCCCGCCTGTCGCGACGCGGCCTTGCCACGACCTCTGCGCATGCGTAAAGCTGCCCGGTCCACGACAGGCTGGGAAATGTAGTCCCGACAGTTCCCCACCCCCTACCCACGCAATCTTCCCGGCCCCACGAGTTTAGCCCTACGCTTCTCCGAGCCAGGACCCTGCGGTTCCCTGAACAGCGCTTCCCGGTTCGCGGAACGTAGCGACTCACTGGGTCTGGAGCTCGGTGCGATTTGAACGTTATTTTCCTTCTGGTCCCTGAAGCCTGGATTCTTTACCCTCTCCCTTCCCTACAACCTTTTAATTTTTCTGTCTTACTGGTCTGTCTCCGAGGCTCGTGCCCTAGCCTAGGCCCTCAGGACTGAAGGCCAGGACTGTGGCAACTTCCTAGTTGATCCCTGCGTCTAGGAAAAAAATAAATTGGGGCAGCCAGATCCCCCTCAGACACCTTCGAGGACCCCCTTGCCTCATCTCTCTAGCTTGTCAACTCGTTTCCCAAACACCTTGCAGTTGTCTCCCCTTCTGTAGCTCCAGGGGTGCTTTCTTTAGTGGCCTCCCTTCCCTGACTGGTGTAAGGGTATAAGGAGTGCCCTGTTCCTGGCAAATTCCCAGGCGCAGATCATTGGGGAAAGCCATGAGAGCCCTCTGGAGCTCGAGCTTTTCCCCTCTTCCTGAGGTCTCAGATGGGAAGATTGGGGATAAGCCCAAGACCCGAAGAGGAAGGGTCTTTGGGACGGTCAAATGTTCAATGATAGAAAGTTCTTAAGGAATTACTTGTAGGTGGGGAGGGGCCTAAGGAAGCCATCCAGCCAAGACCCCTCCATCTTTGGCCTTGCTCTGTACTCTGTCAAGATGAGTCTAAACTTCCAAGCTTGTTTTGGCTATAAGGAGGGAAACAGACAGAGCTCAGACATGGAGAGAGACCAAGTCTTAATGACTTCATTTGAAACCTTGGATCCAGACATGCCCAGAGCTAGATCTGCTTCCCGAACTTTTTGGTTATGTAAGCTAATGCATTCTCTTTTTTGCTTAAGTCATTCTAAGTTAGACTTCTCTATCTCTTGCAACCATGAGTTCTGACTAATTCTGTGGGGGAAAGACCAGCACATCAGGGCCAGCAGAAGATGCTGAACCTCTGAGATCTTCCCTTATTGCTCAACTCCTCCACCAGCCACCCTCTTCTGACATACTTAAATGCACTATAATACCATTTGACCCTAAAATATTTCTGCTTGGTGTGTGCCTCTTGCCAGGCTTTTAAATATCTAGAATTCTACAGCTGGGAGGAGGCAGATCTGGCCCAAACTTATATCCACTGCAGGAGCCACCCTACCAGCCTCTTGTTAAACATTTCCAGGAATAGGGAGCTTGCTACCTCACCAAGCGCTTGTTTCCAATGTTTCTTTTTGAGAGAACTTTTTTTGGGGGAGCCAAAATCAGCCTCCCTGTTACTTTTGTCATCAGTTCTGCCTCCTGAGCTACAATCATATAATCACCCTTCTCCCTCCTGTACATGACAGCTCTGATGGATGGCCTAAGTCTTTTTTTTTCCTCCCTCCCGGGAAAAGCTTTCTAGAGTTCCTTTTACAGACCTTATTTGCAGCCTACTCATCATTCCCACTGTTTTGCTTAAGCAGAGTCTCTCTTCAAGTGTGATGCTAGGAAGTGAATATAGTACTGGCAGCAAACTGGAGAGCCCGTCTCTTCACTGGGTACCAAGTCTCCGGGGCTTTGTTTGTAAGGAATACACTCATTTTGCCTTGCTTAAGTGAAGGGGTTTTTATTGCTAGGACACTTGGGGCAGGGAGGAAGCCAAATGGAATGGGGATTGCAGAACAGTGGCTATGCTATGACTGGGCTTCTGCAGACTGTTGCTGGATTTCGGATCTCAAATCACAGCCTCGCTGGGGACCTTGGTGACAGGAGTATGTGGGTCTTCCCACTCCTGCTCCTCCTGTCGCATAACTCTCTGACAGAGTTTCTGCTTCTTTTATTTATTCCTAATTTTTTCCTACTTTGCTAACTTGCTTCCTCATCCTCTACTGTACATTTTCTACTTCTGGTTTCTGCTTCCGCACAACTGCTTGACATTTTCTCCTCTGTCTCATGACCTCAGTTCAATGTTTAATTTTAGGAATAGTGTGAGCACATGTTAAAAAAAATTAAATAGAGGGGCGCCTGGGTGGCTCAGGCGTTGAGCATCTGCCTTCAGCTCAGGTCATGATCCCAGGGTCCTGGGATTAAGCCCTGCATCGGGCTCCCTGCTCAGCGGGAAGCCTGCTTCTCCCTCTCCCACTCCCCCTGCTTGTGTTCCTGCTCTTCTTAACTCTCTCTCTCTGTCAAATAAATAAATAAAATCTTAAAAAAAAAAAAATTAAATAGAACTGTAAGGTAGACACCAGTGGTTCTCTGCCAGAAGTGACTTTGCCCCCCAGGACACATTTGGCAATGTGCAGAGACATGCTTAATCATCACAGCTGGGGAGCACCCCGAGCTATTGATCTATAGGGGGTAGAGGTCAGGGATGCTTCTGACCGTCCCACAATGCACAGGTCAGCCACTCACCATACAGAATTTCAGTCCCCAAAAGTTAAAAGTGCTGAGGTTGAGAAATACTAGAATGGGGGGAAAAAAGTAAAAGGCCATTCCCCCACCCCATTCCTACTTCCAGTTGTAGTTCCCAGGGGCACCTGCTATTAACGGCTTCTGTGTTTAAGTCTTCCGGTGATTATCACTGTATCTGTCAATAATATTTAGATTATTTAGAGCAAGGGGAGTCTGGGTATATGAAAACCTTGGTGAAGCTCTCCCTTCCACAACCCCTCCGACAACTCCAGCTATAGAGGAGGAACTTTAAATGGGCTCTGCTTCCTGGCAGAGAGAATTTCCTGCAGACAAGTTTCTGGAGAACACCTCAGAGCCAAGAAAAAGGACCTTCAGGAAGACACCAAGTCCCAGAAACAGCCGGCTTTCCAGGAACAATCAATGGCCTTGCTGAGTCTCTCCAGCTCTCTAGAAAACTAACCGGTGGATTGAATTTCTCAGCCTTTGAGGCCAGGAGAATGCAGACAAACCAGAGGGTGGAGAGACCTGCCAGAGGAAACAAATGAATCTTGGACTGAATGAGAGCCCGGGGGAGATAGGTGTGAAGGTCAAACACAAAAGATTTCCTTGAACTAGAAAATGTGATATCAGAACTAAAAATTTCCATACATAAAGCAAAGGAGAGGATGGTTACTGCTAAAACCCCCAAAGAGGTCCAGAAAATTAAACAGATGAAATATCTCAAAACATGTAACAAAAATATGGAGATGCAAATTATGTGGTGAAAGATGGGAGATTGAAACAGACTCAGGGGATTTAGCCTGCAAATTCTATGAGTTCCAGAAGAGGAACAGGAGAGGAGAGATCTTAATTAAATAATACACGGAATATCCCTGAGCTGAAGAAAGATTTAGCTCCTATACAGGTTAAAATTCCTGAACTCTATGGATAAGAACAATACCACACACATTTCCAGGCAGAAAGAAAGTTTGTTCTTATTTGCAACCCTGGAAGTTAAAGGACAGCAAAACTGAATGTGAGGTAATGAAAGAATAGGCCTGCAACCAGGACCTAGCGAAAGGGGAAAGAAAGATAGTTGAAGATTTACAAAAATCATTCAGTGTCTCATGTGAGAAATACTTTTTAGAAAAGGCTCTAATGAAACAACAAATGAGTTAGAACAGACTTCAAGATGGGGGAAGGTGAAGGGAGGAGAGAAATCAGTGGGGTGCAGTGAACCATGATCTATATATTTTTATCTATATTTCTATATATGTATAACATGTCACACAAATGCTAAATACTCTTGAAACAGAAGGAACATGTTGTAAGGGAAATTCTAATAAGGACTAAATTATCTCAAAAAAACTCTGGAATCAGGTGGTGAGGATAAGGGGAAGGTGAGTGTTCTAGGATCTGAGGGGGAAGGAGGAGGAGGAGGAAAGGCTAAGTAATCTAAAGACCATATCTTTTTTTTTTTTTAAGATTTTATTTATTTATTTGACAGAGAGAGACATAGTGAGAGAGG